CACAGAGAATGGACTAGTCTCATTAATTGAATTTTCTGATTAGATTAGATTTTCAAAATGGAGTTCCAGGGAAACACTTCTACAATTTAATAGTTTACATTTCCCGTTTCTGAGTCTACTTTGCAGTTAATGTGATCAAGGATTCAGCAGGACAGGCTTATCCTTCTGAACATGAATTGTGGATTTTTCTTCCACTGGAAATGTTAGAGCCTCCTATTTTCAAGGAAAAAAAAATGTGTCCCAGGGAAGTTCTGTGATTTTTCCAAAGGCAACTATTTAAGGTGTCTAACTAAGTCAGCCCTAGACCCCTTCCTGAGTTGAAAGTTTACAAAAGCCAAAGACAAAATCTCTAACAGTTTTCGTTGTATCAACTCCAGGTCATATGCTTTTTTCTTTTTTGTGAGGTTATTTACCATACTAACTGCCCCTGAAGAAAGCATGTTGTATACTACTCGCCAAAAAATTGATAACTCTGATTTGTTGCCAATTGGTGTAATGGAAGTTTAAACATAATATTTAAGCTTGTGAACACATTGCTGGGCATTGAGGATGTGTGACTATAAGCACATGGGGAGACGTGGACACTACTTTTGCTTGACCACTACTTTGAAAAAGAGGAACACAGTCTATTTCTCAGCAGATGGGAAGCTATTTAAAATGAGCACCATCAAAAGTTGTTTTAAATTAGTTTACTTTGGCAAAAAGGGTATAAGGATCTTTTCTCTGTCTTCGTAAAATCACAGGTGAAAATGGATAAAAGTGCCATTTAATTGAGGATTATAGTCACATTTTAGTCTTCATAGTTCAAAAGTTGTGACTTCTCAAATCAGAGAGGGAAAATCACTTATTACTATATTTTCTCTTCTGTATTTGGTGATATTTAATACCAAACAATTATTAAAACATAGAAGTCCTTCTCTTGTCCACAAAAGAAATAGCTTAAAGCTACTAATAACTTGGGAGAATATGTGGGCCAAAGCAAATAATTCAGGGTAGAAGAAGTAGGAAGAAAGTTTAAGGCAGTTTTTAAGCTTCTGTTTTAGGAGTTTATTAACATCTTGCCGTATCTATGCATGTGAAATGATCTGCCTTTTGTATAGGAATTTAAAAAGTTAAGTAACATGTATAGATATGCCCCAACACAAGGAGAAGAATAGAAGGACCAAAGGCACTTGTGGTTTTTCTTATCCTGCTTTTATGGGCACAAGGTAGCAGGAAAAATGTTCCAGAAACTATGTCTTGGATTTTTTAAGGAGTTGCTGCTAGTTGTAAGGCAATGGGCTCAGGCAAAGCAAAAGCTGTTCATTACAGTTTGTACTGAAGCCAGTTACGTGTGTGGCACACCCTAAGGACATGGGAGACACTCCCCACTTAACCTTAAAATATCAGGAAACCTACTCTCAATGTTGTACAATAAAAGAAGAAGGTGTGAAACCTCCCAGGTGTGCAGCTTCCCAGATGGGTCATTGTGAGCAACTCACTTCACTGTATACGTATTATTCTCATGTTACAGATAAGGAACCAAATACCTGTCTTGCTGTCTCAAGGAGCAGTCCTTTAGACAGCTATATGCGATGACATTGATGAACTTTTGACCTGTAGATGTAAGAATGACATGGTGGAAACATGTTTGACACGTGGCTAAAGAACCAATATCCGAACCATATCTTTTAGGGTCCTGGCAGGAGTGGCGTGATTCAGGAGAGTTTAATGAGGGAAGTACTGAGAAAAGTATGGCCAGGTTAAGAGAGCCCATTAAGGAATAGGGAAGCCCCACAAGGCCAGCAGCAGAAGTGCTAATATCATTCCTAGACCTGAAGGAGCCAGGGAAGGAGGCGCTAACAGACACTAGAGTTTTGCTCTAGTGTTATCCCAAGATAGAAACCGTAGATGGCCAAGCATGTGATTGAGGTATTGGGTGGTCTGGAACCTCACCCTGCTCCAGCCTCCCTATCTCCTGGGGTAGTGTGCATTGGTGGAGTCTAACACAAAGCCAGCAAGTAAGTCCATCCATAGAGGCCACTCTCCCACACCAAAAGTAGGTGCAGAATGCTGGAGAGTGGATGTGGAAGAGCAGCTGGCAAGTGTTCAGCACTCGAACCAGTATCCAGATAAGCATTAAATTCTGTTTGGGAAGCCAGAAGGGGAGGGGAGACAGTACGGTTGGGTAACTACTGTGTGACAAGAACTTTGCATGATTTATCTCACATAGTCTTAGAATCCCCTTGATGAGAGGCTGATTATTATCTCCATTTAACAGGGGAGGTGAGCCCTGGTGGGTTTAATAATGTGTTCATGATCACAAAGCTCGTAAGTGTGAGGATAATATGAGAAACCAAACTTGCTTGACTTCAATAGGTGGGAGCATTTATAAGGGGACTCTAACTTGTCAACAGATGGGCATCGTAGGTAGTAGGAAGCTGTATACCTTGATGGTGGAGGACATCAACATTTCTGTAATAGGTGGAAACCCAGGGAGCTCTTCTTGTCCCATTAAAGCAAGGCCCTCTGTCATGATGCTTCACTCATATTCTGATACAACTCACAGACACTGACCCAAGTATGCTATTTTCAAACGAGCTTCAAAACTATTTTAATTCCATGTGTCTGAGAGACATCACAGTTTTTTTTTCTTAATTTACGTTCTCATGATATATTAAAATAAATGATGAGAATAATACATACCAGTCTTCTCTGACTCTGAGGAAGCTGTAAAAAATTCTTCCACTGAAGTAACCTAAGAGGATTAATGTGTAGACCTTAATCCATCAACTTCTTTGAAAACAGTTGCTGCCTCCCTTGAGGAATTATATCGCTTTTCTCTGATTATTAGAAGCTCTACATCAAATTCCAAAGTCCAATGGATGGCTTTAATTCATGATGACCTTAAATTGTGGTGGTACCTAAACTTTACAAACTACAAGTTACTCATGTTACTAGCATGGGGGTAAAACTGTTTTCTAATCCTTCTTACTGGAATTGGGCCCATACTGAAGATTCTGAGTCATGAAAATATACATCCATAGCGGAGTAACCGTGTTGGCATCTTGTCATGCTGTTAATGAGGTTTTCTTATTGTTGTTTTTACTGTCTTTTGCCTAGATGTTTATTTTCTCCTCAGCAATGCCTCACAGTGATCCAAATCAGAATGATTGCTATATTTCTGTTTTTCTCTTCTTTCAGTTTTTTGTTTATAACCATATATGTATGACCTATTGACTTATATTACAATATGGTCAAATCCTGAAAGAAATCACTGTATTGAAAGATATCAGTATGTTACTATCCATACTTCCAAATAGGCAGGGTTATCCAGTTGAGTGCTCCCTGAATGGGAAGCTCTGATATAAAGGTGGCTTCAAGGTTGAAGAAAGTGCATAAGAACTCACAACTTTTCCCAGAGCCTGCTCACTGACTGGGTGGATTAGATTTCCCTGGGCACTCTTGTGCCTCGGCTGATACTTGAATGATTCAGGGACTTGAAATCCTTGCAAACCTTTTACAGACAGATGATATAATTAGAGCATATGAGTCCAAAAACACAGGATTACAACTTCAGACATGACCAAGCGATTCACTCATCTTCAATTTGAATTGAACATTTATGATGTCCCTGAGGTTAGAAGTGAGGGGCGAGTTGTCTTTAATGCAGAGAATTTTCCTTCACTTGGTCCAGAGAGGTAACACATTCATTCAATAGGGATGTTCTGGACTAGTGACAAACACTTCTATTATGGGCTTTTAGTAATATGGGGTGGGCATCTTATGGCATAGAGTTAAGTAAAACTGCAGGGCACAGAAAAATATAGTATCATCATAATAAGATATGTGGATGGTTATTTGAAATGGGAAAAATAGCAACATCGGTTAATATGGGAATGCCCAAGTGACTCATAGTACATTAATTCAATGAAAAATTATACAGCTATAAGAAGTAATGAGTTGGGCCTCTAACCGTTGACAAGATCTCAAAGATATCCATTGTGTGAAAAAAGAAAGTCTCAGAGCAATGACTATACTGTGATCACATTTGTGGTTAAATGTTCATGTGCACATTTGCACATTTGTATGCATATACATGTGAAAATATACACATCAAAATATTAGCAGTATCTATGAAAAGAGGTATGAGGGTAGGGAGAGGGCTAAATAAAGATTTTTCAAAATATCATCAGGAATATCTAAGAAGATTTTGAATCTTTAATAAGAATATTAAATTACTAATGACACACAGAGAAGCAGAAGATGAAACCCTGAAAATATGTCGGAAAAAATACTAACATTTTAGCACTGATATTATGTTATTTTATATGATTTTATGTTTACTCCCTTTTCTCTTTTCTATATCCTCCCATTTCTCTAAAATATTTATTACTTTTACTATAGTCATGATGTAACTAAACAATTAAAATATAAATGTAGTTGAACAATGCCTTAAGATTTAGACACTTGCCTGTATTAACTCTGATTGGCATTTTATTTGTCTGAGTTGATTCTAATAATGCATTTATTTCTTTCATCTCTCTGATGTATTTGTGAGCCTCAGAATGATTTATCTTTGACCTCAGAGCCTTCTAGCTATTTGTGTATTTACTTCTCTTGTAGGGGAATTGGAGTCTGTGATAAATTGTAGGATTCTTTCACTTCCAGGATTTTCCTGAGTAGATGAAGCTATGTTATGATTTATACTTTAATTTGGTAGGCAAGAGTATGCCATTCAGCTTACTTTCTAATGTATATCTTCGCAAGTTCTTTTTTTTATACATTATAAAATGTATTTTTGCAAGTTATCCACTACTGTCTATGACTACAGTCTTTCTCAGTGTTGGCATCAGAGATGCACACCAGCTAAATGTCAAGAGAAAAGAGAAAATTATCTGAGTGGGGTCCTGATGTATGCACGTGTGTGTTTCTGTGTGTGTGTGTGTGTGTGATTCACACATTGATTTTTGAATGAGCTGTCCGGCTAAAAGTCATTCTCCCATTTTTTTTCCCCTCAGCAATTATAAAAACTGCCCTTCCCAATATGGACAGAGAAGCCAAGGAGGAGTACCTGGTTGTTATCCAAGCCAAAGATATGGGTGGACACTCGGGTGGCCTATCTGGAACCACAACACTTACAGTGACCCTCACTGACGTGAATGACAATCCTCCAAAATTTGCCCAGAGTAAGTGAATTCCCCACGCTGGTGAGCATCTAAGTATGATGTTTCCCTTTGAATCTATATTCTAATTTTCAGTGATTTGAAAAACTGATAGCAATCACTGAGTGCTTATTATGTGCAAGGTATGGTAATTCATATATATGAAAAACTGTGAACTCTTCTATCACTTTGGTACTAAATGTATCCTCACTTTACAGATTTCAAAGAATTTAAGAACATTTCTGAATATTAAGCATAAAGTAAACAATGGAGCTGAGAATTAGAACCAGCAAGTCTGGCTGCAAGATTTGTGCTTATTTCTCTATTGCATGTTACCTCCCTTTAAGAAAACTCAAGAGAATGATTGAAATGCACCTCAGATATTGTTCTATCAATAGTCCCACTTGTATAAAAGAAACTAAATCTCTAGAGCCTGAGGTGGGGAAGGCAGATATACAGTACACTTGCTGCAAAATATACACTCCTCCTTCCTGTGGCTGGCGGGACATCAGTGATCACTGACTCTACCCGTTCCTACTAAAGCTGTGCTTGGCCCCAGAAACCTCTCAACAGCATTGTAGGCAGCCACCATCAATGAATCAGGGAGACAATCATTATTTGCCAACTTTCTTGTACTCTCATAGAACCCTTTCCCTCTGTGCATTCATCCAAGTAATGTGACATTAGAGAGATGATTTGGGAAGGACTTTCTGACATGGAGAATCTTGAAATAAGAGAAATAAATGATGAATAGGAATTAGCTGGAACAAGGTGAAACTGGGGAAGGGAGGATGGACATTGCAACTAGAAGAAAAGGATGTCCAAAAGCCCCAAGGAAGAAGGGTGTACGGCCCTGGATGAGAACTGAAAAAATTTCACTACAGCTGGAGCACGAGGCTGGAGAGTTAGGCAGGAATTAGCCATCCTTGGATTTGCAGGTCATTTTAAGTACCAAGACTTTTATCCTAAGATCACTAGGAAGTCATTAAAATATTTTAACTTGTAGGTTAAGTAATAAGATTTGATTCTAGGGAAATCAGAGAAAATGGAATCTGGCCTTCTTCCAGTGTCTTTCCACACTGCAGCCAGGTAAGGGGTGCTTGTAATCATTCATTTAAAAGGTGATGGAAGCCCTGGCAAGCAAGGTTGGTCGCAGTGGGAGTGGAGAAAGTGTATAAGGGTGTTAGATATTTAAGAGCTAATGGTAACAAAAATCTAAGAATAGATTGCATTTTCAGTTGAGGAGGTGAGTTATCCTATTTCTGACATGAGAGATTACATGCATGCTAGTGCTCTTTGCTGGGATAGGAAATACCTTAGGAAAACCAGTTTTTGCAGAGAGAGAGAAGAGAGGGGAGGGAGAAGGAGAGTGAGAGAGGAAGGGAAAGACAGAGGTGCAGTTTGAAAATGACACATTTGAGGTACCTTGGAGAATTTCTCTGCAAAAACGCCAAGGTAGAAAGAACAGAAAAGATGCATTTCATTAAGAATTTTAGGAAAAGTGGGAGTGAGAGCAGTGCCTCTTGACCAGTTTTGCTTCACCGACTCAGCTGTGGGAAAAGCACCACAACCGGCTCCAGCTGGAGGTGGGGGCTCAGACTTTAATCCACTGGAACATTTTCCTTGTGGATAGCATGAGGTAGAGCTTCAAAATGGCAGAGGAGTGAGCCGTGGAGATACCATATACATCAGAAATACATCTACATGTGGAACAACTCCTACAGAACACCAAATGAACACTGGCATAAGACCTCAGACCACCCAAAAGGCAAGAAACTCTCCACGTACCTGGGTAGGGCAAAAAAAACAAAAAACAGGGACAAAAGAATAGGGAAGGGACTTGCACTTCTGGGAGGGAGCTGTGAAGGAGGAAAGGTTTCCACACACTACAAGCCCCTTCACTGGCAGAGACGGGGGGTGTGCAGGGGGGAAGCTTCGGAGCCACGGAGGAGAGCGCAGCAACAGGGGTGCGGAGGGCAAAGTGCAGAGATTCCTGCACAGAGGATCGGTGCCGGCCAGCACTAACCAGCCCGAGAGGCTTGTCTGCTCACCCACCGGGGCGGGCGAGGGGCTGGGAGCTGAGGCTGGGGCTTCGGTCGGATCCCAGGGAGAGGACTGGGGTTGGCTGCGTGAAGACAGCCTGAAGGGGCTAGTGCGCCACAGCTAGCCGGGAGGGAGTCCGGGAGAAAGTCTGGAGCTGCCTAAGAGGCAAGAGACCATTGTTTCGGGGTTCGCGAGGAGAGGGGATTCAGAGCACCGCCTAAACGAGCTCCAGAGATGGGCGTGAGCCATGGCTATCAGAGTGGACACCAGAGACGGGCATGAAACACGAACGCTGCTGCAGCTACCAAGAAGCCTGTGTGCAAGCACAGGTCACTATCCACACCTCCCCTCCCGGGAGCCTGTGCAGCCCGCCACTGCCAGGGTCCCGTGACCGAGGGACAACTTCCCTGGGAGAACACATGGCGCCTCAGGCTGTTGCAACGTCATGCTGGGCTCTGCCGCCACAGGCTTGCCCCGCATTCTGTACCCCTCCCTCCCCCCGGCCTGAGTGAGCCAGAGCCCCCTAATCAGCTGCTCCTTTAACCCCCTCCCGTCTGGGTGAAGAACAGATGCCCTCAGGTTACCTACACACAGAGGCGGGGCCAAATCCAAAGCTAAACCCCAGGAGCTGTGCGAACAAAGAAGAGAAAGGGAAATCTCTCCCAGCAGCCTCAGGAGCAGCAGATTAAATCTCCACAATCAATTTCATGTACCCTGCATGAGTGTAATCGCTGAATGGACAACGAATCATCCCAAATGGAGGCAGTGGACTTTGGGAGCAACGATATATATATATATTTTTTCCTTTTCCCCTTTTTGTGAGTGTGTATGTGTATGCTTCTGTGTGTGATTTTGTCTGTATAGCTTTGCTTTTACCATTTGTCTTAGGGTTCTATCTGTTTTTTTTAATTTTTACTATAGTTTTTAGCACTTGTTATCATTGGTGGATTTGTTTTTTGGTTTGGTTGCTCTCTTCTTTCTTTTTGTTAATTTTTAAATAATTTTTATTTTTAATAATCATTTTTTATTTTTCAGTTTAACAACTTTGTTTAACTTTTTTCTTTCTTTCTTTATTTTTTCTCCATTTTATTCTGAGCCGTGTGGATGACAGGGTCTTGGTGCTCCGGCCGGGCATCAGGCCTGTGCCTCTGGGGTGGGAGAGCCGAGTTCAGGACATTGGCCCGCCAGAGACCTCCCAGCTCCACGTAATATCAGATGGCGAAAATCTCCCAGAGATCTCCATCTCAACGCCAACACCCAGCTCTACTCAACGACCAGCAAGCTACAGTGCTGGACACCCTATGCCAAACAACTAGCAAGACAGGAATACAACCCTAACCATTAGCAGAGAGGCTGCCTAAAATCATAATAAGGTCACAGACACCCAAAAACACACCACTGGACACGGACCTGCCCACCAGAAAGACAAGATCCAGCCTCATCCACCAGAACACAGGCACTAGTCCCCTACACCAGGAAGCCTACACAACCCACTGAACCAACCTTAGCTACCGCCGGCAGGCACCAAAAACAACAGGAACTATGAATCTGCAGCCTGCAAAAAGGAGACCCCCAAACACAGTAAGTTAAGCAAAATGAGAAGAAAGAGAAACACACATCACATGAAGGAGCAAGGTAAAAACCCACCAGACCAAACAAATGAAGACGAAATAGGGTTTCTACCTGAAAAAGATTTCAGAATAATGATAGTAAAGATGATCCAAACTCTTGGAATTACAATGGAGAAAATACAAGAAACGTTTAACAAGGACATAGAAGAACTAAGGAGCAAACAAACAATGATGAACAACACCATAAATGAAATGAAAAATTCTCTAGAAGGAATCAGTAGCAGAATAACTGAGGCAGAAGAATGGGTAAGTGACCTGGAAGATAAAATAGTGGAAATAACCACTGCAGACCAGAATAAAGAAAAAAGAATGAAAGGAATTGAGGACAGTCTCAGAGACCTCTGGGACAACATTAAATGCACCATCATTTGAATTATAGGGGTCCCAGAAGAAGAAGAGAAAAAGAAAGGGAGTGAGAAAATATTTGAAGAGATTATAGTTGAACACTTCCCTAATATGGGAATGGAAATAGTTAATCAAGTCCCGGAAGCACAGAGAGCCCCATACAGGATAAATCCAAGGAGAAACACACCAAGACACATATTAATCAAGCTATCAAAAATTAAATACAAAGAAAACATATTAAAAGCAGCAAGGGAAAAACAACAAATAACACACAAGGGAATCCCCATAAGGTTAACAGCTGATCGTTCAGCAGAATCTCTGCAAGCCAGAAGGGAGTGACAGGACATATTTAAAGTGATTAAAGGGAAAAACCTACAACCAAGATTACTCTACCCAGCAAGAATCAAATTCAGATTTGATGGAGAAATTAAAACCTTTGCAGACAAGCAAAAGCTAAGAGAATTCAGCACCACTAAACCAGCTTTACAACAAATGCTAAAGGAACTTCTCTAGGCAGGAAACACAAGAGAAGGAAAAGACCTACAAAAACAAACCCAAAACAAATAAGAAAATGGTAATACGAACATACATATCGATAATTACCTTAAATGTAAATGGATTAAATGCTCCAACCAAAAGACATAGACTGGCTGAATGGATACAAAAACAAGACCCGTATATATGCTGTCTACAAGAGACCCACTTGAGACCTAGGGACACATACAGACTGAAAGTGAGGGGATGGAAAAAGATATTCCATGCAAATAGAAACCAAAAGAAAGCTGGAGTAGCAATTCTCATATCAGACAAAATAGACTTTAAAACAAAGACTGTTACAAGAGACAAAGAAGGACACTACATAATGATCAAGGGATCAATCCAAGAAGAAGATGTAGCAATTGTAAATATTTATGCACCCAATATAGGATCACCTCAATACATAAGGCAAATGCTGACAGCCGTAAAAGGGGAAATCAACAGTAACACAAAAATAGTAGGGGACTT